TGGGCTGGATTACAGTTCTTTCTTGTATGTGTCATTAACTAGCCAGTGCAAAGTGGCTGTAAAATGCTTTCATTTTGATGTGGTAGCATTGTACAGCCAGCCACTTTTACATTAGTGTTAAAATTCTATACAAGAGGCTGGTGATGAAAATGGACTTTATTTCTGCAATTGTGTCCAACAACCCAAATGCTTTTCTTCTCCTGATTTGGGCAAACTAGAAAGCCTGTGCCCCTCTGAGCCCAAAGGTGCTTGTGTGCTTAACCACAAATAAACATTTAATGGCCCTTTTTGGATAAATGGGCCTGCTGAGCTCATCTGAGCTGACCCCAGGAAATTAAATCCTGAGATGATTTCTCTTTTCCCTCAGCACAAGGGAGCAGACCGTGAGACTAAATAGGTGGAAATAATACTTGGCATACCAGTATGTCTAAGGCTTAAGGCATGTCAGTGTTTTTACAAATATACATTAATAAAGTTTCCTCACCATTTTGAGATTTTCATCAATTCTTTACATGCCTAGAAAGAGCCAGGCATATTCCTATGGTATTACACAAACAAGTGATAATATCCCTATGGTACAAATATAGATGGGGGGTAACTTTGGGCAGGGATAAACCCTCATATTTGCTCTACATTGTGGCTTTTCCAGGTAATATAAGGAGACTGCCAAGTAATCCTGCCTTGGCAGTAACAGTGCTATAGGGGAGGTGTAATCTTTATATAATGATGCCCTGTTGTCCCATTTTTCATGGGTTTATCCTACAGTCTTACAGCTTGCTGGAGAACTTGAGCCTGGAGTTTTAACTGAGGAGCCCAAAGCGTCCTGCCATGATGCTGAGTTTCTTGTACTGTAATTTTGTTTTGCAAGACAAAGAGATTCTCTTCACTAAGGCTTGAGGTAGCCCCTGTGAACAAGAAGCAGTTCATTCCAAGTGGAGGAAGTAGAATGGAAGATATGGCTTGTTTACGAAGGGAAACTCATTTGTATTATTTGTAAATTTAAAGCAGAATGGCTATTCCAGATTATGTGGATGCTCTAAACTTTAAGCCCAGATTTGTTTAATCTGCTTCAAAAATAGCTATTCTGCTTCAATCAGGAATAGTGAATCTTTGAGGAAATTAAGATAAATTGATCAAAAATATGAAGTTAATGTGCATAAACTAAAGAATGGTAATACCCCCGTATACCCCAATGCCCTCATCCCACCCTCCCTTGATATCAAAGCTCATATTCAGGAGCCAAGGGGGCATAGTTTGTTATAGTTTAATCTTCTACGTGTTCCCCTGGGGTCCTGTGTTCCAGTGCTCCAGAGTCGGCACTGGCTTCCAATAGCTTTCTGGGCACAATTCAAGGTGATAGTTTTGATCCATAAAGCCCTGATTGGCCTGGGCCCCAGATACCTAAAGCGAATACCTCCTCCCTCATATTCCACTGCAGTCCCTGAGGTCAGCCAAAAGCAACGTCATGCAAGTAACATCTGTAAGCCAGCTTTGTTTGGCAAAAATAATTAAAATTTGTGGGAGGTTGTTCTTGGTGATTCCATCTCAGCTTCGGTACTCACTCCCCTTTGAGGCATGCCAGAGCCTGTGAACTTCTTCCAGAAGTGCTGTAAGACCTTTTTATTTGAACAGTCCGGCACCAAGCAGGGTAAGATTCTGGGGCATTGTTTGGGGAGTTGTTTTATTACTTTCTAATTCATTTTAATATTTAATCTGCTTTGACAATGAATCTTGTTTTTATTGTAAATTGCCCTGAGCATTTTTTTTGAGGGAAGCATATGAATCAAATACTTCCATAAATAAAATAAAATAAAAATACACAGGATATTTCCCTAAAAAATTCCCATGTGGCTGGTTCAGCTCCACTGGCATTAACAAGATTGAGAGCTACAGTGTAGACAATGCTGCTGTAGCTACTACAGCTCCTCACAGCATTAGTTAAAATGTCAGGAAAGTAACTGGCAAGCTTTTGAAATTACTCCTGGCTAACGCTGGACCTGAATCAGTGCTGGCAACAGTGAGAAAATTGCCTAATGTTTCTCTAATGTAGGCAGGGCCTATAATGGTCAGGCCTTGTAAGAATGTAAATAGAATCGGGGTCTTACATGTTATGCTGCATAGTACTAATGCCACACCTTTTTGGCTTAACTGTTGCATTAGCAATTGCGAGCCAGTATTATGTTTAATGGCAGTGCAGTGTATTGCCATTATCACTGGCTGGCCACAATTAGGCCTCTGTCATGCAAATGGCTGCTCGTCTGTAGCTTATGCACTTTCTTATCACTGCTTACCTATATCAAGAATTTACATATCAGCGGTAGGTATATTCAGCCCAATTACAGTGGCAGCTATTTTTTTTTTTTAAACAAAGAAGAGGATATGCAATGCTCTGCCTAAGAAGGTGCCTGGTGGATCAATGGTCCTGGGAAGTGGGTTGATCTGTCTATATGTTCAGGAATAAGAGAGCTCAAGTGAGTCTGCTCTGGCATCTTTTTTCCCAGATCCAGTTTGTTTTAAAGGCACTTTCAAAGGGAAGGGGTCTCTGGTAAGAATGATTTCCCCTCCTGGGGTTACTTTCCTCTGTGCTGCATTTCATCCAACTTTCTACTGAAGTTAAACAGGCTACCTGATCTGTACATTAGCTCTATTTAAGCCCACTTGTGCTACCTCTAGCCCAGGGGCGGGCAGTTATTTCAGGTGGAGGGCCAGGGCTATTTTAATAAATATTAATTTTCTAAATTTTTTAGGGGCCCTGCGTGCTAGATAGAACGGCCTGGCAGACCACATCTGGCCCGCAGGCTGCATTTTGCCAACCCTATTCTAACCCCTCTTGGCTGACCTGTGTGTAATGGAGGCCCAGGAATTTAAAACTTGATCAGGTAACTCTGGCTGCTTACAGATGTTAAAAAACCAAAATGCACTTTACTGGAAGAAGCAGCGCATTAGTTCAACCTGGCTCCACAGTTTCTGTATAGATCAGGCGCTTCAGTGGGACATTTTGGCACTTTTATCTAATAGCTGATTCAATCAGCTATTAGATAAAAACTCCAAAAAAGCCCCACTAAAGCACCTGATGTATACAGATGTTGCGAGCCAGGTCCAATTAACACAATGCCTCTTTTGGGTATGTGCTGGTCTTGGTGCAGGAGCGTGCCAGGTTTAAAGTAAAGTGCCATTTTGGAGGGGGGGGGTGCAGGTAATGTCTGTAAGCAGCCTCTGTTCCCTGTTACTGTGGGCAGACCAAGACCTCCTACTTAAGTTGGCTTCCTCCTCCATATGTCAATGAGACCAGCAAAACAGCAGACTTCTTTATTCACAGCTTTCCAAAGGCTAAGGACATACTTTCATGAAAAAGGGGCAAGTCAGGACTTGATATTTCTAATGCTTGTAAAATTTGGGGGGAGACTGAAGAAGGAGAGGAGGAAGTTCAGATCACCTTTGTCTATTGTGAAGAACACTAATAACTTCCTTTGCTGTGGTTACATATTACATATCACCTCTGAATGTTTAGACTTCTGTGTTTTATCATATTCATGTAGCTTTTTGCATTTCTTTCTATTTTATACAGAAGTGTGTGGTAGGGAGGAGGGAGTGGTTTGATCAGAGGCATAACTGGCCACTACCGTGCCTTGGGCAGAACTGTGCCCCCCTGCACCTTCCCTGCAGTAGTACAGCAGCAGCAGCTGGAGGTGCATTGCTGTTGCTGGGGATGATGTAATTTCCCTTTTTTGCTACCCAAAACTGGTGAGTTTTCTGGCTGCTTGACAAGCATGTTGGTGGCCAAAAAGAGATAACATATCTGTCATTAACAACAAACCTCTGGCCGCCATGGCTGTGTCTTTGCTGCTGCTCTCCCTTCCCTATTCCTGGAACCAAAGCCAGGGCCACTGTTGGGAATGTGCAGGGTGTGAGGGGGATTAGCTAGGGTGACCATATGTCCCAGGTTGGCCAGAAGAGTCTCAGATTTCGGAGGCTGTCTCAGCATCCCCGCTGTTGGAGAAAGTTGAAGAAAAGTCCCAGATTGGTGAGAACCCACCTGCACATGAAGTTCCTGAGTCAGGAGCCAGGTTGCTCCCTGATCCAAACTCCTCTGGACTGTGAGCAGAGTTGCTTGTGCAGCAGAGTCAGGGCAGAGCTACATATGGGAAGTCACGGGGTCAGGGTCAGGGCTGCGTGTGTATATGTGTGTGTGTGCATGCACCGGCCCCTTTGCCCCCATCCTGGATTTCCTTACCCAATCCCATATTTCTCTCAAATTATTATGATCACCCTAGGAATAGGGGATAGTTGATGGGAGGGTGAGGCACCCATTCCCACCCTCGCCCCTTTAGGCAGCACCTGTCTCCCACTCTTTGTTATGCTTCTGGGTTTTATTTTTGAAAAATGTATTGTGTTGTGTATTTGAAGATGGAGATACTTGTACCTTCAAACACTCACAGAGTTGGACATCAAATCCTGTCCTTCATTCCAAACAGGCTGGGTGCATTTGAGCACCATAGGTCAGATTAGGAATATATTCCTTATGAACCTGGTCCAGGCAGCAGGGTTATTACAGGACATCTCTAGAACAGAAGAATGAAAAACCCCATATTCCTAGAAATCTCTGACTTCT